AAAAAAAAACAAAAAAAAATCAATTTCCCATTTTACGCATCTAACCGAAAAAGAAAAAAATAAAAAAAAAAAAAAAAAAAAGATTACAACAAGAATAGGGAGATTGCTTACTGATTAGCGCCGATCAAACAAAGAATTGGGGAAGGGTAACAGACCTGTAAATTGAAGGAAAAAGGAGGGATAAAACAAGAAAACGTGCTTGGAATACCACCTGGAAAGCAAGAAAGACATAACTAGATTTGAAGATTGTATTAAGTTGGAACTCGAGGAAGAGGATATGAGATTCAGATGGAGCTTTTCTGATTCTTCAATCTGAGCAAACCGAGAGTAAAGAGAAAGAGATAGTTGTTTTTAATTTGGGCCTCTTTCCCGTGTTTTCATCCATTTTCCTTTTTTGGCTGCTCAAAACGCCTAAAAAGACGTTTTGAGTTTTAAGAACAATTTTATTTTTTTTTTATTTTTTTTTTGTAAATCTTATTTTCGAAAATAGGAAAGAGAACACATTTTCTATCATTTTGGAAAATTGAAAACATAAAATGGCCTGCAAACAGTAAAGAGAACAGGCCCTAAGATATTTGATACGGAGTCAAGGTCCTCGACTTTACCTTTTGACGGTGATGAAACTATGGAAGAAATTGAAGACGAAGAAGATGCGCTGGATCCTCCTATTTCAAACCCTTCTCATGACATTCTGAGCTCGAGTAACCCACCTCATTCCTCTGATTTCACGTCCACCGATGATCACTACAATCTCTTATATGATCGTATTAACTCTCTCACTTCTTCCGTTAAAGGTTTGTAAAACAACGGCTCATGACTTACAGAATTCAGTCGATGGGTTAACCACTTTGCTTCACCAAGTGCTTGCATCGCAAGAGGCACTTAATGCTCGTTTTGATTCAATTTTCCCTCCTCTGCCTCCTCCGGAGTACTAAATTTACTTTGAGTCTTTAGCAGTTTGCATTTGTTATGATGTACCATGGAACAATGTTTATGCTTTTGACATTCATCACATGTGCTTTGACAAATATTTTTGTTATACATGTAATGCTTATTCTTATTTTTATATTCGTATATGTATGGCATCTTGTGTTTATTTGAGGAGGAATACTAATCTCTCATATGGTTGACTTATTGTTTTCATCAATAATGCCAAATTCTTGCTCACATAAGCGTTATATGTTTGCTTATGCCTAAAGGAGAAAAAATGAGAGAGGTTTGATATGCTTTGAATTGATAACAATTATTTGTAAAAAAATAGAGGAAATGCATGTTAAATTTGAGCATTTTATTCCTTATTCATTGTCGATTTTACTTTGCAAATCATCTTGTTTGTCATACTTAAAATGGGAGAAATTGTTGACATATGGTTGATTTTAACCTTAATTTTTTTTTTCTTCTTAACAAACAACTTAATCTTATTTACTAATAATTGATTTAAAGTGATCATAATTTTCAAATCTTCCAACGATAAATCGATCGTCATAAAAAGATTAAGATTAACACAATTGTTACGCCTTCATCTGAAACACTTCGGAAATTTCACAACCACGTCGTACGAGGCGTGCGACATCCATCCGAATTGGTTCCGAAGTGGAGCCACCATCTGTTAACACACTGTAAGACACGAACAATCTACTGAACTGACCGAGGCGCCCTTGCCCCTGAAGCCGGAGCGCTGTTCAAGCCGAAGTTTTTCTGCTAGAGGATCCGCTGCCAATTTCAGAAAAAGATCTAGATCTTTTCTGCCCCCAAGATTAAATTGATTTGATATCTCCATGAGCATAATTGATGTGACGTATCAACTTTATTTTAACTCAATTCAGGGGAAGTAATTATTTGCCCACTCTATAGACGCGGCTGATTGACACTTATGAGCAAACGCCTCACACCGTCAGATGCATACACGTGTCTCACATCCAACGGATCTCCTCACCTATAAATATCCAAGGTTTGGCAAGAGGCAAAGGTAATGAAACTTTTACAACATAGCTTTCCACAACAAGCAAATATATATTCTCCTCCCCTTTATTTAGCACAACCTAGGTATTGTTTCAACCACCTGAGGTTAACTTGATTGTCGGAGTGTATGCGGTCGCTACCACCCCGTTAATTCTGACCGTGTGCATTTGACTCTGCATTGACTGTGCACAGTGAGGAATACGTGGAGTAGCTATCGATTGGTCACGTGGAGGGTCCAATTTGCAAGGTCAGCAACAATCATTATAAATTGGACTATACAAAGTATGTTAAGATCAAAGTCACGTCTTTCAAGAATTCAAGACAAAATCCTTCAAGACGAGAGTTGAAGAGCCAATTTTAGACAAGATCAGATAGTAGACCTTTAGACCAATTGTAATGGAACTAATGCTTTGATCTTTAGCACTTAATAATAAAAGTGCTAAAACTATTTTATGCACTAAAATTATCTTGATATTACTTAAATAAAATGTTTTGATCAAGTTAAAATTAATCTTCATCACTGTAAACTTTATTTTTTTGAAAATCAACATTTGATATAAAATGATAATTGAAATTAAATCATATTTTTAAAATGTCATTTATCTTTGAAAAACTAGTTTAAAAAAAAACTTTTCAAAAATCTAAAATTTTCAAAGTAATTTCGATTAGGCTATACTAGATAATTGATTGTAAGATTGATCAACAAAATTGGTTGGTCGATTTAGAAAAAGGTAGATTGATCTATCAACCTTTCAAAATTTGAATGTTTTGACTTTTGACCATGTACTATCCAATGGTTATATTTTTCGGTTATCAAAACTTACATAGACCGATCGGACTATCATCCAAACCAACAAAAAGTTATACAAATTGTTCTCTATAAATTGATTTTGTTTTGCAATCATCGTAAGAACTTTGAAGAGCATTTTTGCAGAAATATTTTTAGCATATCTTTAAATTTATATTACAATTATTTCTTCTACATCTTCATCTTAAAAATCTTTGTTGATTTAATCAAACTTTTAAGAAATCATCTCCATCAAAAATTTTCATCTTTAAATTAACAGAAGAATTGAAGAATGCCTCATTGAAATAGAAACAAGATTCAAATGTCAGGATTCACTTCACACTAGTTATAATGCCAAATGGCTCATCTCCTCATGATCTTCTCTTAAGGTCAACTGCTTTCGCTTCATCCTCGCAGGGTAGAGAATTTATCACAATCTCATCAATATAGAAAAACTACTCCTCTTAACTTTGATTAAATGAACCATAAATACTTCAGGTCATGAAAACAAAGTTTCTATGAGTTGATCACTAATATTGTGAAATGACGCCTTTCATGGATCTCAAATGAAACCAAAATGCTGCAACAAAATTTGGTCAAATCCACCAAAAAAGAACCCATCCATAATAAAACGGAAAACCCAGATCATGGATTAATTTAACAAGCAATAAACAACACGGTCTCCACAAAAGAGCCAGTTTGAACGAAATGCTACCTTACAAAAGCATTGCACCAGAAAAATCACCCTAGAAAAGAGAGAGTTGATGTGAGATGCTCTACTTTTCATCTATTCTAACTGGATGAAGCATTCTTTCTAGCAGCATAAACCCGATAAGCAGCCAGCCCAACAATGGCTACTGCAGCTCCAACTGTAATATGGACAACATTAGTAAAACGATCTTGGAGGTGAACACAGAGGTAAAAAAATTTAACCCGGAATAAGTGCTTAGACTATCAATAATTAAACTGGGCCTTTATATAAACGAGAAAATTGCAGCAGACTTCTCCAACCAATTTGGATGGTAACAAGTTGATCTCCAACTTAAGTTATTAGCAAGAGTTGTTCTCAACCTTTCAAGTTTGTAGCAAGTTGGACTCGAATGGCTGGATGCTGTCCACTTGATGGAAAGGCACATGACTTGCACATATCTAACTACTTAGAGGTAAAATGGGTAAAAACTTGAATACATTTTTAACTATTTGATCTCAACTAATAATGTATAACATAACTATCACAACTACATCTCACAATGAATTATGGGATATGATCACCTGGACTGTCTCTACTAATGGTGAATAAAATTACTCAATAAATAAAGAATAGAAGATCAGCCAATTAAAAAAGAAAACTCTACAAAGAACAAGCACTTCATCTTCCCAACCCCCTTCTCCCCACCCTCCCCATGGCTGGCATTACCTTGTCAATACTTTTCGTCTCCCATCTTTGAGTCTCCTGCGAATCTTAAATTATTATCTCATCCATATGATATGAAAACCAGAATCTTCTATGCTAAATGAATGAATAGTAGTAGTTAAAGGTGTTCCCCTTTTTCTTTAACCTTCAAGTGGGCTCATGGACAGTCTCCTCGGACAATGAAGAGGCAGTATCTTCTGGTTCAGTTCCTTTTACCATATAGAAGCTTATGATCCAGAGGTAGAAAAGTGTTACAAACCTAGTTTCTTCAGAAACTACCCTTAAAAATCTAAATGGAGCATAGCTTCCAAGCAAAAGTTAAGAAATGCAAGAACCCTGAGTGGAACTGCAAATTTTGCATCACATAAATTTCAACCAAGTTATGAACTATTCATCAATCAAACGTGAAGAAGGACTAGATTTCGATCAATTACAACATAAAGAAGATGAAAATTCAAGTCTTGAGTCAGCAGCAGAAGTATTAAGGTGCATTAATGTGATGACTACAATCTTTGTTTTACTTCCTTCACTTATCATTCTCTTTCACATATTTACTTTTAAGCAATCCCCCAATTTATCCCTCCCAAAGTGGGACATGCAAATCAAATGTTAAAATGTTTTTGACAGTCAAGTGGACAATATCTATGTACTAGAGACTAGCTCACTACAGATTAGAGAGGTTGAGATGACTCCTACCAAGAACATACTATGCAGCCAAGTTAAAACTCAATTAGGTTGGGGGACCTCAGCTGCAGTTTTTTTCCATTAAGAAAATATTAAAATGAAAAAAACCAAGAGCGACAGAGAGATGATCTACATAAATGTGAAAAAAACAAATATACAATCTGGCAAAACGAAAGCTAACTTTAAGAAAAGAAGCTAATTTAGTAAGGCTAACTATTCCCTCAGAGATCTTTGGACATCATACAAGTGAGAAACCATCTCAAACCTTGAGATGGCAATACCTCAAAGTAATTTCTCCTAATGTAAGATACTGAGTTATTTAGTAGATATATGGCAGATAAGGAAGAACTGAAGAGGAATTGGCCAACTTCAATAACCAATGGAGTGGGTAAACTAATATTGGTGGTTCCAATGGAACCACCCCAAATTTTTTGGAAATTTTACAATATAGAGCTCAGAACAAAGCTAAGGGCATAATCATTTTAACATATCAACCTTCAAAACTGACTCTGGTATAGCCATAGGCTTTGAATAAGCCTTACAAGTC